GGTGGCAGCTCTGTGTGTAAGGGAGCGGCATGCGACCCCTTGAAAAACTGACACTGAATTGTTTGACACAAGGTGTATGTGTATTTTTAGGGACGGTTAGCGGCGTTCCTAGCCCAGCTCGGTGGCCTTGCTTTGCTGTCGGAGAGCCGAGGGTGCAAGGGCTGACAGCACAGCGAGCCCAGGGCAGAGCTTTGTGCCCCACACACTGCTGTGAGCACACGTTCTGTTTCAGCATCTTTCCCAAACGCTCTGCTGTGCAGGGGAAACACTTGGGCTCTCAGGGTTTTCCCCCAAACCTATATGTGTGGGTTTAATGAGCTCTTGTTGCCCCTTGAGTATAATCAAGTGGGTTTGGTGTGCAGGAGCAGTTTTGGCAGGTCCCTCGGTGTGTGAGGACTCGTGCTGGGCCCGTGGTGATGCTGAAGTACAATCTGTTCTCAGAAGCTTAGCCTCCACTCAGCTGCAGGACGTTTTGGGTTTCATGGGCTCAGGAGGTTGTTCTAGGGCATCCAAACAGGTGCAAATCCTAGCAGCTCCTCGCTGGGGCAGGTTTGGCTGTTCACTTTTGCAAAATTCAGCCCTTTATAAGGAGCACGAGGTGTGAGGATTGACCCACTTAGAAGACGAACGCACTTAAAACAGCATTATTAATGACTTTGGGTCTGATGAAGGCTTAATTTTGTTCTCTTACCTAATTTCTGGTAATTTAGAAGTGTCTTTAATTTGCAGTGAGAACCTGACTCCTCAGAAGAATAGGATCAGAGCATTTGCACTCTAATCAGCAGCTGCCTAGAATTTATCAACCTTGGAGCCAAGGGTATGGTTTTATTTCAGCATTGTTCACTCTGCTCTGGAAGTTCTTGATAAACCTATAAATGTTTAGGCCTGTGCACTCTGCCCTTGTGCAATGGTTCTGTGTTCACAGGGTACAGAACTGACTTCTGCAGGAACCATCACATCCTTTTTAAAATGAGAGCAGAAGTTCTCCATTTGAATTTGCTTCACCACTAATTGCCTGCTACTGATTGCTAGTGTGTCTCTGATTCATTTATCCTGTTGAACTGATAACCAGCTTTCCAGTCCTCTGTCACAGGAGTGATAATTCTGCTTGAACTTCACTGCTCTAGAGCAATGTCCACGTGCTGATTTGTTTCAAATCTTCAATATTCTTTGCACTGTTTACTGTCTTACTACTCATACATTAAGAGTTTGTAGTGGAGTCATTCTCTTTTTTGTTTTCTCCTTTGTCTGCTTTTAATAAGGAGCAATGCAAACACTCTACAAATAAAACTACCTTCTGAAAGCCTCCCTGTGTTCACCTGCTGTTCATGACGTAAATGCTGCCAACAAGCTAAAAGTAGTTTTAGAAATGGTTGAAGTGAAAAGAATTAATTGCTTTTATTTTGACACAGGTATGAAAACTCAATGGGGTCGTCCAAAAATGTGCTAAGTGAGCCTGTGGATGGGGAGGAAGGCTATAACATGATGGTAAGATATTCACTTGCTTAACAGTGCATACAGCAAGAAAAGCTAATTTTTCTTGTTGGGATTCAGATTCACTTGTATTTTCTCTCAAAGTATTGATTCTAGGCGCTGAACCAAGTTATTAACACCATATTGAGAAACCTTAAAAAATGAATTTTTATTGTAGAATAAATAAAGTATTTCTTCTGTTTTGCATAGTTTCCAGTTGTGTGAGTATACACATTTTTTGCACTTGTTTCAGCTGATTACCATTTTAAACTGCTTTTGTCCAGCTTGTGCTGTAGTGTAAGATAGAGTGTTTGGTCACACTCACAGATCTGGGCTGAGACTGAGGTTGGAGCTGAAGTCATCTCAGAATGCAGTGAATGAAACTGGAGGTTTTGTTCCCATCAATGCAGTTATGTGTGTGAACACCACTAAAACAGGAACCCTCACAAAAGCTGCTTTGCCATTCATAGCCATGCAGAGAAGCAGGGATGACTAAATGACAAACATCTGATGTTTAGGACCAGAGAGCTTCTAGTCATTCCTTTGGCCTAACTGGTGATTGTATCCAGAGCCCTCTGAGGAAAGGAACCTCTTTGGGTAGTTTGGTAGCAAACAGCAGCACTGAGGTTGAAGTAGTCAGAAACCACATACCAGTGTCACATCAGTTGTGTGAGGGAGGGCATTAAACTTGCTCTGGTCAAATGAAAAGACTGTTGGTACCCACTGTGGCCTCTGGCACAAGGATTTTCACTTTTTGGCTTCCTTGTTGCTAACTGTCCCACTAAAACCTCCTTTAAGGGTGTGTGGGTTTCTTTTGACTGACATATAAGAAAAGTAAGTCAGGCTCTAGTTTCTTTTACAAAGTACTTTGAAATGTCACAATGAGATGCTTGTGCTCCTCTTGTAAAGCTTTCTGGCTTGTAAACAATGAATAATTTACAAAGTCAGTGTGATGTGGAGTAATGAAGAGCTTTACACTCACATGGGAGTAATGATCAAGGATGGGGAATGGTTGTCTTGGTGGCAGCTGGGGGGGATTTGGTAGGTCACAATGTGCAGCAAGAGAGCTAATGCTTATGTGCTAGGAAGAGCTGGGTCTGCTCTGGCCAGGGGATGGGGACTTGGGGATTGGACTAGACCTGCAGAGATCCCTTCCAACCTGTGTTTTTCTCTGTGTAAACTGTGATATGTTGAAACTTACCATCACTAGTGATGCAAAGGTAATACCACACTGCCTAAAGCCCCTGTGCATCGTTTTGAGGTGATCAAATGGGATTATCACCTGTGAGACATGGATAACCTGTCCCCAGTGTTTAGCATTGAGAAGCTCTGCACTGAGGTGTTTGGATCTGCTTTGGACATTGTAGTTCAAGGACAGATGGGAATCAGCTGGAGACAGTTTGGGAGGGAAAACTCTGAGTGCTCAGATTCAGAAAACTTGAAATCTAAGGTCTGGGAGACATGAGTGAAAAGGTCAAAGGAATAGGTGTGGTAAGCCTGGAAGATAGGAAGACCAATGAAATGGAATGTTAACGGCATGAAAAATAGGAAAGAAAATGTTTGAAATGTTTTCAGGTGCTCTGGATAAGTGGGTTTCCAAGTCACTGTGCTTGTGTTGTAGGAGAGCCATAGTTAAATATGACATAGATTGTGCTGAGTGAACACTGTGCTGGGGGAGGATTTTGAAAAAAAAAAAGATGCAATAGATGAGGAAAGTTTTATTTGTTTACTTACTTCATTTTTGGTGTTTGTGGATGCCATAGATTAGCTTTACTTCCAGCTAAGCTGAGTGCCTGGGTGATTTTTAGGATTTGAGAATAAATGAATGCAAAATGCAGTCTGAAAATTCTACTTTTGGTAAAAGACAGACACATTTCACAGGGGATTAAGGTAAAATTGGCCAAGATACCACGAGTATTTACATGGAGTTTAGGCAGTCATTTGAAGAGATTTTAAAATAGTTATGTGTCACTGGTAGATCTTTAGCTCTTAGATTGATGATAATAAGTGAATTGTTAAGCAACAAGGGGTGAAAAACTAAACTTGGTACAGCAGAAATGATCACTCTTCTGGAAATTACTAGTTAGACTAGGCAGTTAGTTGTATAGAATAAGGACAGATTAGAGCCAGTTCAGTACAGATCCTGTTTTTTATGTGCTTTGCTTAGGTTTCTTTGGGCCAAAGTACATAATTTGCTCTATTTATTGCATTAGGGTTTCCAGAAGTTCACTGATACAGCAGTGCTGTTTTTTCTTGGCTCTGGGTGTTGCCCTGGTGGTGTCTCCGGGTAGGTTTGTGGAGCACTAGGTGGCACACTGTGACTTGGAAACAGGCAGCTGGGGACAGCTGGGCGGGAGAGACCCAAGCTAAATGCGATTTAAGCACCGAAGTAAAAGCAGTTTCTCATTTGTGTTGTGTTTCCTACCACCTCAATAAATTGTTCCTTGTGGTTGAATTTGTTTGAAGCTAGCTGGGTCAGCAGTTTTGTGCCTCATGGGACAGAAATTTATCATTACAGTACAGAGTTTGACTTTGTTGCAAATTGTTTTCTGAGGAATAGCTTGATACACTGTAGAAGAGGCAAGATTTTATCTGATGGATATCTGTCAATTGATGCAAAAACTTCCTAATGTATTTGGTTTCCAATGTCTTGCCATGGTGCATTTCACAGGTGCAAAGAAATATGTTTATGAGGTAAATGAAGCTCATCCTCAGTGTCTCATTCTGTCTGTGAGTAGCTGCAGTTTTGTAGTCACAGGTAACTGCAGTTGCCAGGAAGTCCTTTCTAGGCTCTCAGGGAAAGGGAGATGAATTTTCATACATGTTTCAGATGGTTCCCATAAGTCCTGTGCCTTTCTGCAGGCTCTCACCTGTCAGCTAAGACATGCATTTTGGTCCTATGCAGTTTTTATCTTAAATAATTAGTTCTAATTAGTACAAGGTAATGAAAACATTAGTGAAGTCTACTGGTCATGCTCTGGCAGCATTGGCAGGCAGTGGCACAAAGGTGGTGTGTTCCAGACATACTCATACTGTGGGCTGGTAGGAACTCTCCTGTCCTGTTGGTGAATCTTATCATGCAGGAAAATTGTCACATACACCTGTTTCAGATATTGGAGGAAAATTCAGCACCTGTGCACTCCACTTGGAATAGTGTAACCACAGATTGCATGAAATTAACATACTCCATACCCAGTAGTTTCTAATGCTTTTCTTCCCATCCTTGTGTTTCTTGTTTCCAGGCTTCTTTCCAACGCTCTAATAGCCATGACAAAGTGAGGAAAATAGTGGCAGAAGAGGGACGTACAGCAAGGAACCTGATTGCCTGGAGCGTTCCTCTGGAGAACAAGGAAGATGATGGTATGTGTTGAACAGTTTCCCACCAGCTTTTTCCACTTCCATCCTTCTGTCCACACTGGAGTTGCTCACCTGGAAGCATTTCTCTTACACAGGATTTCTCTATTAAAAAATCCGGTGTGTTTGGCATACACAGTGTCATTGAAAAGCTTTTTTCCACCGTGCAGCCTGTGGTTGGCAGAGCACTGAGTAAACCTCCCAGTGACAGACTAAAAACTGATTTCATTTGTAACATCTAAGGCTGTTTTGTTTTGCTGATATTATCAAGATACTTGTGTAACACAATAGTGTTGTTCTAAGCTGATCTCTTGTAACTTGGGAATTCAGAATTGTAGGGATGGATTAAAACAGTCCAACAAATTGTTCTCTGTGCTCTGAAACAAAGAAGTTTGGAAGTTTCTGTTGGTATCACTTTGGTGTTGGTAAAATGTCTGTGAAGAATCTCTAAGGAAAGGATATGTGGGGACAGTTTCCTATAATGTACATTCTCAGAACAGTTTTGTCACTGTTGTAATACTCTCCTGTGGTGTGGTGATTTAAGAAGCCAGGAATTGCCTCTTATTTCTGTACTGCTCAAGCTGTTCCAGATGTCAGAATTCTGTGTTTGAGGAATTCATGTCAAGCATTTTGTAGCTCCCATGTCCCTGTGCAGGTGCAGTATGGATATCCACACTCCATATCTTCAGAAGGAGTTAGTCCTTGCCCCACACCATGTTCTTTTAGGTTTGCAGAGCCTGGTGTTTATGAAAGTCTTGTTTCCTATAGATGTGTATAAATGTCTGCCTCGTGTAGGAAGTGCCTGAAAACTTTTATCTTTACAAGGAGATTGCTCAGGCATTTCCTAGTTCTTAGACCATGGGTTGTTACTCTGTTTCATATGGAATCTAAAGAGGCACAACTTTGTGTTCATCTGCCCATGCTTGTTTGCAAACCTTTTCCCTGTGCAAGTCCTGTGTACTGTTGTATTCACACCTTGTCTTTGCAGAATGTCAGTCAGATCAGAAGAGAGACATTGGTGATTGACATATTTCAGTTATCATAAGTCAAACATGGAGCTACTCCACAGTTTCAGCTCTTTAGTGACTAGGAAAGTTTTATACATACAGTAACTGAATGTTGGTTTTTTCCTGAATGCTGCTAAATTGAGATCAATATATTAGTTTGTACCTGTTGTTTTGGCCGATGTAGAATTTAAAAAATGAATTATCAAACAAATAATTTTTAATTTGCTTTAAATTAAAAGCCTTGTTGCCTGGAATAGCCAGTGATGCAAACCAGCTGTGCCAAGCAGCTGTATGACTGCCTGATAAAACAGGTCTGCAGCTGCTTTGCATAACCAGAGCAGTGTACAACAGCTGGGCTGTGTTAGAGAGTTTGGCCTCAGAACTGTTCAAAACTCACTGGACGATCCTGAAATTCAAGAATGCTCTCCATGGTCTAGGGAGGACTATGTCCAACTGATGCATTGATTTGCTTGGCTTCATCCTGCTAAATAATCTTGAAATTTTTGCTGAGATGTAATCTGTGCTAGAGGATACTGCTGCCATAGTTACTGTGCTGTCTGAGCCGGTTTACACCGTTGGTAATTGGATTCTGTGGTTTTCATGTTGTGCAAGTTAGATACTAAGTTGGAGGAATAAAATTTTTCAGATTGCCCTATAGCAGGTCTCAAAGATGAAGTGCAAACACATCAGGTTGGTCTAGGCTGACACAGATTTATCTGTGCAAAGATAACTATGAAACCTGGAATCATCTTTCCTGGCTAAGGAGATAAACTGCTTTTGGAAGAATAGTTACTCAAGTCACTTTGTACAAAACAGTGGAGAGAGACAGGTATGTTTGAGAAGGCATTTCAGATGTTTAGGGGGCTGACTCTGCTCTCTGAATGTTTTTCTCTCTTCCTTGGCTACCTAAGAGCAGGTAAACTAAACCCAGGACGAAGTTCTGGTTTTCCCCCTCTTTCTTGGCAGAAATACATAACCCACTGGTAGATTGTTTGAACAGTTCCAGAAAAACTAAACTATTACATTTGTTTTTCCTAACAAATGTATTCCTTGTTTTAATTCTGTAGTATCTGATTAAACAGTCATTCCAGGGCAGGCATTTTTTAAATCTATGCAGAAAACTAGGATCATATTTGACATGTAGATGGTAATGATACGATTTCCAGAGGCACTGAGCATTTAAAGGTGGGTTAGCTTTGTTTAATGAAGTCTGTAATTCTTGCCTTTGTCATTTTTTTCATTTTCAGTGTTTTCTGGCATTATCCACAATTTGAACAGTGGAATTTATATTTGGACTACAAAATTAGCCAAACCTCTCGCTCAGAAATTGTGCCTCTCTCAGTGCATTCCAAGATGAGATATGTGCATTTTAAAATGCTCTAATTAAAATCATTATTGTTGATTAAACCAGTTGCTTCTCCCACAGGAAAATCGAAATGGCAATCTGGTGGGAAAACCAAGAGGGTGACTCAAGGGACACACAAGACTGCAAAACAGGTGTGTGCTCAGTTGTACTGTGACATAAAAATGGTTTTGTTTGTGAAATCATAGGGACATTATTGACTGAGTTATACTTGTCTAAAACTGTGCATACGTTGTATTTTCAAAGCATCCAAGTTCCAAAGTCAGGTATTCAGAAGTTAAAATTGCCAGAATTCAGGTTATCTTCCTTAGCTTTTTCTTTTGGCACTTCCCAACGTCTTTTTGGCATTGAAGCTGCTCCAACTGCTCAGTGGAGTGGTGCAGGATACAGTTCCTGTGAGGATGCTGCTCACACAAGGGCTGCTTTTCTCTCCTCTGCTGACGTGAGGCAGTGCTCTATTTTGTGTTACTGGCTGAGGTCAGTGTGGAAATGGAAAATGACCAGGTGAGTAAAATTTCCAAGAGTTAGGACTGAACCTCTGTGACTGACCATCTTTACTACATTCATAAAGTAATTCCTCAATCTTTCCTCATGTTTCATATTTTTAACCATTGTTTTTCTCTGATTAAAGGGTTTAGCCATAGTATGGTTTTAGCCAATTAGTATTTTGAGGCTATCTGTCACAACTTGATAATAAAGCATATGGAAAATGTTATTTTTTGAAAGAAGAAAGTGTTCTGCTTCCATAGAGATGCACTGGCCTCTGCAAAGCCCAGGAATGCTATTTTCCCAGTTTAGTTTAGCAGCTGTTAACTTGTTCTCCCTTCACACACTAGAGTGTTACAGACACTGTATCCTGGTTTTATGTTCTGTGAAGGTGGAATTTCACCGATGCAGTTGGGACTCCCTGCGAGGGTTTACCCTCAGCATCTGCAGGGTGTGGGTGATGTGCTGCACAGTTTGGGTCTGTTTTAGGGACCATATAAACACTGAGTTTTCAGGAGAGTACTTGGTGGCTCTGTGTGGGATTGCTGCACCAAACTGACTTGTAGACACAGTGCATTCCTCCTGGGTGCAATTAGGGCTTGAAATGAGCTGCACTGTCTGTGCATCTTGGCATTTCAGTTTGGCATTCAGCACCTTTATTTCTACTGCTTTTCAGACACTGGATACTGCTGTAATTGGTGGCTTTTTTGGGTTAGTTTTGTTGAGCTTTCAGTTTTCATTTTCCTTAACATATAAATTGGCCACTAATCCCAAGAAAATAAACTAACAAGAACTCTTTAATATGATCTTATCAACCTCATCTTCCTTTCAGTAGGGAGCTGGCAAATCTACATTCAATACATTTTGGCATCCTGAGACTATAAATATACACATCTTACTTTCTACAAGGCAAGTTACCAAAACTGTTAAAAAGAAACCTAACTAGAAAAAAACCACCAAGAGAAATTCAGTTTTAATGTCCCTTTCGTCATCCACACCAAGTTACCTGAAGTGGAAGAAGAGGTATTCCATTTTTCTTAGCTTCAGAGACACCAAAACTTTGCATCTTCTGCAGCTGAAGAGCTGAACTATCACTGCAAGTTAAAATATTGTTTCTATTAGGCAAATGTCACCTCAGTGTTCACCTGCTTGTGTGACTGTGTTTGCAAGAAATTTGGGGTTCATCCTTTCAGAGGTGTTTTGCTGGAATATGGGTGACTGTAAGTGTTGCTCAGGTTCTACTGAGACCCTGAAAATCTGCAGCTTACAACTGCTACAATTTACAGAGGCTGCACATGCTGCTCTCCTCCTCAAACCATGGCTGGCATATAAGAGAGGAGATAAATGGATGCCAAATACAGTAGGTGGATAACAGTTATTGCTAAATATCAAAACATATTCCATGACACTTCTAAGGGTACATTTGAAAATGTATCTTTCAAACAGTGGGAATTATGTGTGATTCCCTTTACAAAACAATTGATCCTTTCTAGCAGCAGTATTAGCTGACTGAATCTAAACCTAATCACTTTCCCAAGGTCACATTTTATACATACAGGCAGCAGTAGGTAGCACTGTTATTTGACATAGCTCTTTCTGATTCTGTAGTTGTGGTGGCATTATTACAAGCTGTGGTTTAAAGGAGCTATAATTAGCCAGTGTAAGCCTGGCTTTAAAGGTTTATATCCAAGGCCTTGGCTAAGGAGCATCTTTTCTCCAACCAGTTTAAGAGGTGACTCTTACGTCACAGAAATAAAACCAGGAAACCCTTGTTAAGCTCCTGTTCATTTCTGCCCATGGCTCTTGTGCAGACTTTAGCTGGAGTTCATCTGGAGTACACTTGGAGCACTCAGAGATATATGTAAGGGTAGCAGAGGTGTTAGTGTGACTGTAGTAAATCAGATTCCTTACACCCAAATTAGCATCTGAATTAGCACTTCACTGGCATTGACACTCACATGTTAGAACTAGGGTTTCAAAACAAAAAACTTATTTGTAATGGTAATAGAAATTACCTGTGGTGGAAATATCACCTGTCAGGGTGAGTAATGCAGTGGATAGTTTTATAGTGTGTGAAGGAATTGGAATGGACCTTAGAGATCACCCAGCTCCAACCCCTGCCCTGGGCAGGGACACCTCCCACCAGAGCAGGTTGCTCAAGGCTCATCCAACCTGGAATGAAACACTGCCAGGGTTGGGGCAGCCACAGCCTCCCTGGGCACCCTGTAATATGTCATTAGAAAGTGTAACTTTCCCATGTGCTGAGAGGCAGAATATCCTGTACAGAACTGCTGCCTGTATTTAAGAACTGTGTTTTTAAAGCCTCGAGTCCATGGGGTGGTGTAGTCTTCTCCAATGAAGAAATTCTTGTTTACAAGTGTTTCAGTAAGTCAAAACAAAAATGTGTTGCACGGGAACCCAACTTCTCACCATACCTGTGTTTGTTATTTTGCTTTTCCTTTGCATCTTGCTTTTTTCAGAACACTAGCTTGGACTGTAAGCTGACAGCAGCAGCTGGAGAGAAGAGCTTTGACAAAAGCCCCACGAAGACAAGGCCGCGCAAGGTGGATCTGCGCGCGCGGTACTGGGCCTTCCTGTTCGACAACCTGCGCCGCGCCGTGGATGAGATCTACGTCACCTGCGAGTCCGACCAGAGCGTGGTGGAGTGCAAGGTGAGGCTGCTCTTGTGGCACGTGGCTTCTCCTGCCTTTTTATCCTTCACAAAAACAGCTGAGTGAGGAGTTGGAGCTTCAGGGACATGTTAGTGTTTGATTTGGCTTTCGTGAAGGTTTGTAAGGAGGAAAGTTCATAGCATATTGATTCATGTTTAAGAAAATGCTTTCATCCTGGGCAGGACTAATTTTTGGAGTATATAGAGCTCTTCATGATGTACATGATGTTATTAGAGCTCTGTTCATTGATGAATTCCGATGTTGTTTGTTGAGCTCTGATTGGTTCCTTTCTGGCTGAATGCTGATGGATTTATTTTCCCTGTGCTGTCCTTTACTGTAGGTGGCACTATTGTGGTTCAGCCTTTTGCACATTTGTTTGCTTCCTGTTAAGTGGCTTAATTATACATTGTTCCCTTTCTGCAGTGATATTTATCACTAATTCTCTCTTTGATGAGGAAGTGATTGGTGTAGGCAATGTCTGGTTGGGATATCACTGTGAGGCACTTCCCATTTTCAGACAACCTGTGTTTGTAATAGCTTGTGCATCTGTTTCACATTTCATGATGATTTTCTAGTAGACCCCTTGTCATTTAATAAAAATCACTCATTCTTCAGGCATGGGGTTTATCACAAGCATGAGGAGAAGCCAGAATAGATTATACGAGAAACGTGAAAGATACTACTTTGTTTTTACATTAAACATGGCTGAAAACTCAACACATTCTGGAAATGATTATCTAATCACTGTAAAAAATTACATATATCAATTTAAGTAAACTTTTTTCTTATCCTCTGCATCTAGTTCTCTGCTGTAATCAGACACAGTCAAATGGGCTTTGAGATTAGCAGACAAATACATTTCATTGGAAGCAGGTTTGAAGGTTGAACAGTAGCTTAGAGGCTTCCAAGTCACTGGTTGGTCTAACACAGTTTACCATTTTGGTACCAAACTGTCTTCCTGCTCAGGAAACTTCTCTGGAGGAGTCTTTGGTTTTAGAGAATCAGGCAGCCTTGCACTGTAATTAGATTAGCATGTTCAGCTTGTGTGACTGCAGGAACAGAAGCGTATTTGTATCATTATCACATATTTGGGGGCTTAGATATCATTCAGCATTTTAATCAGCTACTTGATCTGCTCTGGGATGGAGATACCACAGAGCCTGAGTGAAAAGTCTTCATTTTAGCAGAGCTTGACAATGATGTCTCTATCTGTGTGGGTCAGGTTACTTGTTTGCAAAACAAGGGTGGAAAACCCCAAAAATGAGTAAACAGGACAGTCCAATGTCATGTGCTGTAAAACTTGTGTAAAAAGTTCTTTCTTCTCAGCACAGAAGTTTGCCTTCCCTCAGCAGCTGGAATATGTGCTTGTGGTCTGGTTGAGTTTCTTTTGCAGGTTACTGTCAGATGGTGATCATTATTCGTTTGCTAAATGACCAAAGTCTCTGCTAATTCAGATATGAAGTGTCAAACGGTTGAGTCTTGCGAATTATTTTTACTAGCAGTGTTTCACTTCTCTCAGTTCTATTGATTGTCATTATTTTGTGGTGGGTTTGACAGTCCAGTTTCTCCCAGAGGTGAGGCTCAGTGTCACTGATCACTTTGCCACTGTCTTTTGCAGTGAGTGCTTTGCAGAGCTCTTAGTAGATATTAAGTAAGGAAGCAAAATGGTTAAACTCTTAACTTTGCTTCATTGTTTTTTTTAAAAATGGGATTAAAAAAATTCTTTCAATTAAGATAAATTCATGTTATCAAAAACTTCCTTCATTTTGACTGTTTAAGTAATACCTCCTCAAACTTCTGCCTTGGCCAAATGGGCATGTGCTGCTCTGTTGAAACATTTCAGTTGTCTAAAGATTATTTTAAAAGAAGAGCCATGTGAAAATGAAATGTGACAACTTGTGGCATTCAAAACTTTCGGGTTAACCTGGTACAAAAGTGCTAGTTGGTTTTTATTTTATACCTTTTGCTCTCTTGTCTCCTTTCAAGTTGATATAGTTTTATTGGTTACATTGTCAGTGAGGATGACGTTTGATGCTCCCAGATGGGAAAGGGCTCTAGTGGCTGTTTGTGGTTGAAACTGCAGACAGAAGGGCTGTGGTGAGGATCCAAACACTGGCAACGTGTGTAAGAGGATCAGTGGTTGTGTATATTTTCTCTCAGCTTTGGGCACTGCTGGAGTTGGTATTTTGCTATTGATCTGGAATTGAGAACTCTCAAATCATGTGTGCTGATATATAGATATGGCTTTGATGCTTTGTATGGACATGGTTGAACTATTTCTGAAATAAGGAAATCTGAAGTTGAAGCATCACCTCACTGCAATAGTAATAAAAGATCAGATATATCCTAGTAGATTTGGCTATAACCATCAGTGTTTGAAAATGCAAATTGTATGGCTGTTCTATACCTTAGCTTGGGTTCTGTGTGTCTAGTGTTTGCATGAATATTTTATTGCCCTGTATTTGATAGGTTTGGGTGGCAAGTGGAGGCACAAAAGAAATAGTAATGCCTTTAAATCTCTTTGTGTATGCTAAAGGAGTTAAGCCCAAAAGCATTTGTAGGTGGAGGAAGGCAGATTATGTAGTCAGTCTTAGTTAATGCAGCAGAGAGTGATCAGGAAGAGATTTTTTAGGGAGAGAGTGATCATTCATCTGCCCAGGGAGGTGGTGGATTCACCATCCCTGGAGGTTTTCAAGCTGAGACTGGATGTGGCACTTGGTGCCATGGGTTAGTAACCACAGTGGGGGTTGGGCTCGATGATCTTTGAGGTCTTTTCCAACCTGGTTGATTCTATGATGCTGTGAAAAGAAGGGAAATCACTGAAAGAGCTTTTTGACACGCAGAACTCTAGGTCAGAGAACTGCACAGAACCGAGAGAAGAAGAAAACAAGAGTTGTATTCTGCCTGTTCTTAGTGTTATTGCCTGTTTTCCCTGAAGTGTTGGTTTTTAGCAGCCTCGCTTCTCCTTCACTTCAAACCGTCTCGTTAAAAAACCATACGGGCTGGACATGACCTTGAGAAATAATGGGATTTGCAATTGTTCTGGCTCTGCTCAGCCGCAGCAGAGCCCGTGGAGGTTCCTCTTTGTCAGCCCCTTCCCGAGCGGCGGCGGCGTTCGGGGCTCGGCCGCAGGTGGGGCAGAGAGGGGATTGAGTGTCGCGACACAAAGGGAAGGCGCCGAGCGTCCTGCGGCAGCGCCAGCGCCGGAGAGCATTCCCCACCGATCGAATCCGCCGCAGCCAATTGCCGAGCTAATTGGTAATTTTAGCTGTACATCTATATGGAGTTATCTGCAGCCCGGGACAGCGCTCTCAGAGCCACTTTTGTTCTGCTCCATCCTGCCTGACAGAATAGCCCTCCTGGCTGGAGGGAGAAAGATGTGCCTCAGTGAGTATGGGGCCGCTCCAGCTGCTTGTCCTGTTTGTATTCCCTTGTTCATACAACACGGCTCGGGTTACAGCTGCATGGCCCTGTCTGATCAGCTCTGATAATGTGCAACTAAACATTCCTTAAAATAGGTTAAGCCACTTATTGCTGCTTTTTTTTTTTTTCCTGTGCCAGCTAACTTCAGAAATATAGCTCATAGTCACATTGATTCCGGGTTTTTTTTGGTGAGGAGTATCTCAGTGGCAGACTTGAAAAGCAAATGATTCAGAATTCAATTTTGCTTTCTATGCTCCTATTGTTACTAAGAGTCAGCACAACTTAGTATGGGCCAACCTAAATGGACAGGAATTGGATTAGAAGGCTGAAATTTTATTAGCAAAACTGAAAAAAGAACTGGCTAAAACACTTGTTCATTTTTGTAGCAGACTTTACTTAAGAATTATTTTGGTGCTGTAAACCAACTGCCTGGTAAGAAAGAGTTTTGGGGGAGTATTTCGAAACAAAGAGTGACTTTTACATCAGCAGTGAGATCTGTCTGACTGCCCTGGTGTCTGACTTTGTGGTGACTTGTCCCTTCCAACAAGCAGCATGTGCTCTGTATGTGCCATACCTACCAGTTAAAAGGATACTGATGTGAAAACTGAACTTGCAGCTTAAGGTTAAACAGAATGGCTATTGATCCATATATGCAGAAGCATTCTGCATGCATTAGAGGTGCTTTTTCTCTTCAAAGGACAATTAAAGTGAAGATGAATGGGATGTGATGTTACATTAATTGCATTAGTTACCTGGGCTGCAGTCAAGTGTTTTTACTGTTTTCAGTGTCAAAAGTTTTACTGTTAAAATCTCTAGTTATGCAGTTAAGAACTAAGACCTTTTCATTTGTTATTCTTCCCAAAGTATTTCTACTAATTTGCTTTGAGCAGAAAATTTCTCTTAGTATCATCAGGAATGACTTGGACATAGTACAGAAGTCTGTAAAACAGCAACAATGTCATTAGTGTTTTCCCTTATACCATAAATTTCTGTCTGCACTTTACATTCTGCATGTGAAGCTCATGTAATTTTCATAACATTTAAGCTTCATTCCTGGATTTTTATTATTTTCAGCATGTTGTCATCACAGAGCACAGGATACATTTTTCTTGCCTTTGAAAGAGTAGCTATGAAAGCTCTTTCTGACTGACACGAGCTCCAACTCTGTCCCTCAGAAAGGCACTAATGTGCTTTGGTGGTGACAGTCAGCCCTGCTGAGGAGGTGCCTCGTGTCTGTGTGTGTGCTGGCACATTCAGTCCAAGGTTTTTGAATTTGTGTGTGGACTCTCAGTGGTTTCCTAGCTTCCTGCCTGGTAAAGAATTGCTCCTTTCCTTACCAGTGGCAGTAGATAACTGCAGTTTGCTCAGGAAACAGAACTAAGGGTTCAATCCATATGTGGTGTTTTGTTCTGCTTTGCTGTGACAAAATGGTGCTATTGTGTGAGTAAAGGCAGCAGGATCCCAACTTACCTTGGAATTCTTCCTTGTTCCTCTCTGTAACCTGACCTGACTGTAGGCACTGCACTCTTACGTTTGAGCAAACTGGAAATCAGTAGATGCATCAATAATTGCTCAAATCAGAAACAAATTTTTCAGCTCCCCACTCTTCCCTGCTGCTCAGTCACTGGTACTTTAGCTATCAGTTTCTTCCTGTTGTGGTGTCAAGTGAAGTTAATTTTATGTCTTTTTGTAACAGTAATTTTGTTAGAGACCAACGTGCTGTTCCATATTCTAACTACTTCATCAAGGTTTTGCTATGTTCTAAGTAAATGTACAGCACATCCATGTAATTCCTGACTGTGGATGTTTAATCCTGCCCAGGGTCTGAAACAGTTGCCCTTGTGCAGTTTTGTTTTACTTCACAAACAGATTCATTGTGACATTTATTCTTCCATGTTTTACAGTTTTGCCTATTTGATGATGTGTGTGCAGCATATTTTAAAAGCTAACTCTGACCAAAGAAAGGAATCAATCATGGAGCAGTGATCCTGACGTGTGTTAGCAATTGTTTTCTTGCCAAATCTTGCTGGTTTGTCCTTACACAGTGATGCTCACAAATCTTAGGAAATGTGCTCCTTTTCTTCAGGATAAATGTGTTAATGTTTGTTCACATAAAAATCTTAGCTGTCTGGGCTTTCTTGTTTTCAGGGAGTTTCTTGGGTTTATTGTTAATGAGAAATCTACAAAGTAGTAGATTTCCCACTTTTTCAGTTCTTTATTGGGGATTGTTTTTTAAATACAAAGATTGATGTGGTGGTTGCATTGCAGGAAGTCCTGATGATGCTTGATAACTATGTAAGGGACTTCAAAGCATTGATTGACTGGATACAGCTACAGGAGAAGCTGGAAAAAGCTGATGCTCAAAGCAGGTAATTGGATTTCCATCGTTTTTAATCCACATAGAGAGTAAAGTTCATAGTAAACTTCATTTTGTAGCTAAGACTCAGCAAATAGAACCAATTTTCCGTTTGGACAAAAGTGATGTGAGGACATTTGATGTGCATTGTCACTGCCACTAGAAGTAGAAAATATTTCCAGTCCTACTCCTGATCCTTTCCTTTTGCCTGGTTAGTTTGGTGTTTAGTGGAACAAACATTGTGGCCCTGAGAGTATCCTTTGGTTTTGATCTGGGTTGGGTTTGGGGTTGATGTAGAAACAGTGGCTAAGATCAATGAGCAAATTCAGCAGTATTCATTCAGACATTTGTTGGTGCTGGTTTTGCTTTAAGGGACAGAGGAATAGTTACTGTGAATCGGTTTTCAAACCCTTCTTCCCTGTATTTGCAGACCTACTTCCCTAGCCTGGGAAGTAAAGAAGATGTCTCCAGGACGTCATGTGATTCCAAGTCCATCAACAGACAGAATTAGTGTGACATCAAATGCTCGAAGAAGTTTGAATTTTGGGTATGAAAGCAGCTAATAAGTTTATTGAAGCTAAAGTAAAGATTCACTTGAAGGAGAGTTCACAATTGCACTGCTTTTCCATAGTAATCAGTGTATTGTTTTGCCATTAAAGTCATATAAGCAATTAGAAGAAAGAAAAGCACATGGTCTGTGAAGGAAAGGGACTCAGCAGAGAAGGAAACATCTCAGCAGAGATGTAACATTAGACTATTTGGTCAGTACCTCTAGGGATTGAGCTCTCCAGTTTGGCATATCAGATACTTCTACAAAGAACTGCAAAGTGTGTTTGGTGGAAAAATGGATCCAACAGTGTTAGTCCCTTTGTAGGTGTATTGATACCACCTGACAACCTCTGAGGTTGTCTGCCTCAGTGCCTGGTGCTGGGGAGAAAACATGCACAGGAGTCAACTGAAAGATTTGACTCTGCTGGAAATCAATGCTCTTTTATTTTTATTAGAACACAACAGCTCAGCATCATGATGTTTTTCAGCTCACTCTTTTTTGGATGTAATTACACATTGCTATTGTTGCTGGAGCTGTTTCATCCACCATCACAGGGAAATGATGAACAACTGTGTGTTAGAGCAGCTAATAACAAGATGTATTTTCTGTCCTTCACACTTGCAAACTTTTGCTTCTTAGTCTGCTTGTGTGTCTCAAAGCAGCCCCAGACAACCACAATATTTTGTGTGTGTGAGAAATAGGTTAGAAAATAAGGGCTTAGACTATTTCCTGGCTTAGGCTGCTAGGAATTCTTAGGAAGGGAATAGGGACAGAAGGGAAGGTGGTGGTGTACCACTGTAGAAATTCCTAGGGAATGGCACAGATGACTGTGGTCATCATCTCTTCCCAAAAGCAGTGTTGAAAAAGTAGGAAAAATACAGAAACTGGAGACAGAAACAATTAGAAGTGTCCAAAAGCATTGATGTGAAAAAAGAAGGATTTGGGGAAGAGCTTGCAAGAAGGGTATGATAAAGGAGAAATAAAATCTCTGGGATGATGAGTAGGAAGATTTTTTTTTTTTTCATAAAAAGGAATTGGCAGTGCTAAGTGATCAAACTCCAAGCTGTAAAATGACAGGAGTGTTTTTTCAAGCCTTAGTATGTAGAATTTGTTACTATGTGATGCTTTGGTTGCCAAAACCATCAATTACTTCAGAAATTAGTGCCACAAAGATAAAAGTCCATCTTGGTTATTAAACACAACCATTTGTTTAGTAAATTGCATCAACTTTTTAGTGTCAGTTGCTGCAGCCTGGAGAGTGTGCTGGGGGGAGAGAGGTGGTTCTGTGCTGCTCAGGTCTGGCAGGCTCTGCAGTGTCCTGAGCAGGTTTTCTGAGGATCCTTGTGTTTGGTTAGGCACTAACAGAGCTGTGACTTCCCTCAGGAACCCTGCAGTGACCCTCTCTGCCACACGTCTGGCTCCTGCTGCTGTGAGTTGGGCTGATAAGGTGAAAGCCAACCATGGAACCAAAGCTGCCAACCCTGAGCTGGCAGCAGCACCAGCCTGTCTGGCACCGCCCGCACAGAAGTCGCTGCGGAAAAACGGCAAGTCTGGAATTGAGTTATTGCACAAACTGTGTGGTGTAGAGTTCATGCAGCATAAACACCTGTGTTCAAGGCACAACGGAGTCTAAGTTTGCCAAGTAGAATGTTTAAGAATTGAGCTAAAAGGTCAGTTTTAGCCTTAAGTTGTGAGGGTTAAGTTTGAGACAAAGTTCTGTTTTGCTGTGTAGGTAACACCGTGTTGTATTTGCACTAGGTAGAATTTGATCTGTTAGGGTGCAAGAAACAAAAGGTCTTTGGTCACAAACTGACAACCTAAGTGACTGCAGTGTGGTGTGGTTTAATGACAGAAAGAATAATACATGCCCAGGAATCTGTAAAGAGCTCAAGATGGTTTATGTGCCCTGGAGGACATGTTATTAGCACTGTGCTGAAGGAACAATTGATGTTTTTCCTTTGAAGACAAGAGTTGCCAATTCAGTTATGAATTGTTTCACTAAAGATCCTCCTTGGAGGATGCTTGATGTAGGGTCATTTGTTCTAGAAGAGATTTGGTTCGTTGTAGACACAAAAAACTACCATTTGGGTTTTAAAGTTAGTTTTTGTGCACACACTGGAACCCTGAGATTGTCTTCAGAGATGCTTTTCTTTCATTTCTTTTTTCCCCACGTGTGGTCTCAGCTGACTTTCTGCAAAAGCAGCAGGCAGGATGTGGAAGTGGATATTCCTAAAGAAAATAAAATGGGTTTTGAAAGAAAGCTTCCAGGAAGAGCATGTATTCATTTAAGATACTTGTATGTTCAACCCAGTAGTGGTAGAAGTCACGGATAGTGGTTTGCAGACTTGTGGCCTGTTACGGAGCTAAAATGCCTTGTCCAGGTGCCTTGCAATAGAACTGGAGTGAGTTCAGTAGCATGTGGATTCCTGTGCTTAGAGCAGAAAGATCAAACCATCCTCTGAAGATGGTTATTGGAGTGGGGATTGATGGATGCTGTTGGAAGGAGGGAATAGCTTGCTTGGGTGTGGTTGCAGTGTGCTGGTTAGAGAGCAGTGGTTGTTTGGCTGAGAGTTCAGCACTGTAAGTGATGTGTAATTCCACTTGTAACACATGCCAGGAATTAAGGCTATTAACAGCAAAACCTTTTTCTGGTGCCTGTCACACTTATTAAAGGGACAGGCTCCAATCTGTGCCTAAATACCTTTGTTAGGGATTCCTGTAGCATATGGACAATGTTATCAGCTACACAGGAGACAAGTGATCTGTATTTCCAGATGGATAATGTATATTTAAGAGGCTAAAAGGAAAACAGAAGACCTTATCCTTATGTTGGTTTCAGGCAGTTAGAGGGCTGAGGAACGAGTTGTTCTGTCTTTTATTGGCTGTTAGCTGCTGCTCTTGAGCTCCAGAAAGAGCAACACTGCTTAGGTCCTGCAGTACTGGCCTACAGGTGTTCAGTCATTTTCAAACCAAATGGCCCTTGCAATCCAGACCTGAAGCATTGCATTTTAGGAAATATCAGTCGCTCCTGCTGGAGACTTTGTTTATTCTTGAGGGTCTCTCGTTGTTGACACTGAACATTGGAGAGTTTCAGTGATTTTCTCGGGGGTGAATGCTAATGTTTGTAACAAACTCACTGTTGCCCTTTGTGTGGAAGTTGGAATCACCTTGGTGAAATCAAATTATCCTCACTGATTGGAGCACAAGAAAATCTGTGAAGTTTATGCTGAGGGAGTCAGAGGCTCTTCGCATGCATTATTGAAGCAGCTGTGAGGCTCATGTATCATCTGTCTGTCTGTTCAGCAGCTAATGCACTCACAGCTGTTTGGTACATGTGGCCTTGGGGGAAGGAGGATTCCCCCTGCCCCCTGTGATGCTCTCTTGCCCACCCTAAAGCCCAGCTGGAGCTTACAGCTGCAGGATCTCCCTGAAACACTTTGTCTCCAGAGATTTCCAACAGCATTATCATTAGGGCTCACAATGGTTTTCTGATGTGGCCAAGTGGTATCATACTGTATCTCTTTCATGGTTGATGCAATTTCCAAATTTAACTAAATAAGTCCCTGGGGAGAGAGAAAATGCATTCTTTTTTCCAGATAGTTCTTTAATCTTTTCTGGATGCATAATTAAATGAGGTTAAATCATCTTATCTCATTTCCCTCATTAAACTTACTGTTACCCTCAATATTTTAATGAATTAAAAAAAAATAGGGATTTTGTCTTTTGTGCTTGAGTGTTTCCTACAATATGAAACGTGTTCTGTTCTTACTGACTGACCAGTTTCTGGCAGGAGTAAAAGATTTAGGAACAGCCTACACAAGGACAACAGCTTAGCATGAAATGAATTCCCAGGTGGCCGGAGAGGCTATACAAGTTTAGAGTGTGTATTAAGGCTGGAAGTAGGTGCTTACAGTTAGAAAAATTGGTTACTGTTTGTAGAGAGCTCAGCAGAAAGGACAGGCAGAGACACAGGGACTTCTCAGAAATACTCAGTGTTTGTCTTCTCTTGCCTCACTTGAAATCTAGTTGTTTGGTATTACCATCACCAGCTTGCCTGTATTAATTGCTCATGTGCATAGCTGTGAATAGATGAATTTGTAATGTAGCTGAGACTGGAGGCTGTGAGGGACATGGAGTGCTCCAACATCCCTGTCCTGGTCTGGGCTTGGACATGCTGTGGCACCTGATCCATGAAAACCTCTCATGCCTGAGTGCACGTGGCAGGACTGTCCTCACAGACAGCAAGGGACAATGTATTCCTGAAGGCCTTGTCAGGTTCTTGAGCACAATTCTATTGAAAATTTTACATTCATTCTCTTTATATTCCCCCCTCCCTTCATATTATGAAGTGACCAAAAACTAGTCTTGACAATTAACTTGTCTAATTAAGACCTTGCCTATCCATTCACCACCTCTTGGTATGATGTGTAGATTTGTCACTGCTTCCACCACTAAATTGGCCTCTTTTAAAAAAAAATGATTTCATTGTTTTGGTTTGCATGTCATGTTTCCTGCAACAGCATTTTGCCTGAGTTCCTGTTTCTAGGTTTGCTTCCAGATTCTCAGGTGATCAGAGTTTCCAAAGTGCCTCTCAGATACAGTAATACTTCAGATATAAACAATATGGGGCCGAATTTTAGTGATGAGTGGAGAAGGTCAGATAGGTTTGATTAGGATATTAGTCGCCAATGAATTTTTTAGAGTGGCCATGCCTCTCCTGAGGTAGAACTCCCAGAGGTTTGCACAGACTTGCCTAGATTTCTGTTAGTGATGTTGCCAGTGAGGCTGCTTAGCCACTTCTTGCTGCACTTCTTGCAGATGGAGCAACTTGCACCGAGCAGGGCCCTGGTGGCTGTAAGGGCCTGGAGATAACAGATGGCTTGTCACTGCCGTGTAACACAAGAGCTGCAGGGACAGGGGAGCTCCCATGAAACCAGAGAGTGATCAAGGTAGTCAAATGAATTATTCATTAACAAAACTCTGGGAGTAATCAAACCCAGCATGTGATACTTGGCCTGTGGAGATGGCTCCTGGGCTGTAAGAATTCCAGACTTAGGGGAAAGAGGGTGGAGGAAGGTGGGTGTCCTACTGAGTATTATCTTGGCTTCAGATTAGAGATGATCTCATGGCAATAGATGCATTAGCATTGTAAACTCTTGGTTAAAAATGTGCCTGGAAATGACTGAATACTAAACTGGTGAGTGAGCTAAAATGGACAAGTAACTTCTTGTGCACAGCTATTTGTCAGGTGGCTTCAAACTGTTAAACTGGTGCCAGACAGTTCAAGAGTCTGAGCACATGCTCATCAAAAACTACTTTGTATGTAAAGAGTTCACCAAACCCTGTTCTTTCAAACACAAGGATTTCAGGGCTGTTAAAATGCTCAGATGAGCCTTGAGTTGTAATTATGACTCTGCCACTGAACAAATGCAGTAAAAGAAAGGCCAATAAATGGCTTTTACTCCAAGATTCATTCTTATTGTCGTGAGTGTGATTATGGCTTTGCTCTGAATAATTTCACTCTGATTAATTCTGTCATTTTGGACTGCTAAGGAATGTGCCATGAGACAAAGAATCAGCTAGGCAAGAATATTCTTTTTTGGTGGAATGAACTTCAGTAGATATTAGTAAAAGATATTAGAAGATATTAGCTCAATTATTAAGATACATATGATTAATATGTTCTATTCTCTAGATACTAGTGAAATTGTCTTTAGGTAGTAGTGGCTGCAAAAGGTTATCTTCTGATCTTTTCAGTGTAGAAAAGACCCTTTATGTAAGACCTCAATTTTCAGAACAGGTTGGAAGAGAATTTTTGCAGCAATGACAGGCAAAAGGACTTGCAATCCCTGAGTTGCTGCAGGAAAGCAGTGCCTTTTTTTAGTTGATTTCAGCAGTGTTCTGAACAATCTCTTGGTTTTCTGTATGTTACTTGCCAGGGAAATTTCTTGGCCAAATTTTATCATTAGCTGCATACAGCAAAGTCTTTGTGGTCCTGTCACTTGGAAGAGCCTGTGGGGAAGGAGCAGCTGTGACAGCCAAGGAGCCTCAGCAGCTCTTGTCCCACATTCTGCACAGGCTGTGTGCAGGGAGCTTCCTGCAGGGAGGCTGGTTTGGGTCTTGTGGAATTAAACCCCTGTTCCCTGGAGCATTGTTGGGGAGAAGATTGTCTCTGAGAGGGCAATAACATGTTTCCATCACTCACTTCTGTAGGTAATAATACTTTTTCCATATGAAGATGAAGAAATGAAAATAAAGCTAAAGCTGCTTACAGAGGTCAAACAGGAAGTCTGCGGTAAAGCAAAAAGTGTAATCAGTGTCTTTTTGTCTGCCATTCCCCTGTCTAGTCAGTGAGGCACACTGAGTGCAAGTGCATGGAGGGGAAGGAACACAGAAAGGCTTTTTGCAGAGGTGGCTCTGGTTACCAGCAGTAATCTGAAGAGCTCAGCTATAGTCATTCACACAGTTTGAGAATGTTGCTTAAAATGCATGGCAATTTTTCTAGAGTAAAATAGTTTCAGTAGTAAAATCTCAAGTTGAATTGTCTTTTTGCATCTGTTCTTAGCAGTATTGGTAAGGTTTGTGATCAGTTCTATAGTCATGTGAAAACAGCTGCTGCATGAGCTGCTCAGCAAAGATAATTTTCAGTACAGACCTGTTAACTTCCCTGGTGACTGTGAATTTACACCAGCCATGGGGCCAGGCTGCTGTGTCATCCTGGGTTAAGGGAACCAGTGGGTAAGTGGGCACTGCATGTCTGTAAAATGTGCAGTGCCAAGGGCAGTAAGGGATGGAAGTGCCACTAGTTCTGGTGTAGACTCATAGTCAGTTTACTGGGTGCTGCTGGTGTTGAACACTGGTCCAAGTCCATCCAAAGGTTGTTTAGTCCAGTAGGTGCAATGGTTTGATCTTTCACCTAGAATCATTCCATGTTTATTGGCAGTTCTGTGCCTGCTCTGCAGTGTAGCACTCCCAGTGACAGGGGCAGGACCAGAACTCTGTGCACTTGAAACACCTGCCCTGGAGGGAAATTAAAAAAGACTCAAGGATTTTTTACCGTGAAAATTCATGTCAAGGCAGGTCTGTTTTAGGTACTGTAAACTGCCTTACAATAAACACATGTTCTGAAAGGAAGAAAAAAGATTTTGTGTTGTCATTTCCCTCTGAGGTGTTATTGGCAGCCCATAAAGGTAAGGTGGTGCACTCCTTGTGACCTAAGCATCATGTGTTCCTACAGGGTTTTTTTTCTGACAGTTTTTAAACCACTGGACGTTCTGCTTTTAAAAATCAGATCTCTAAAAATGGGAGTTTTAAGCCAGTCGTTAAGTGGGTTATGTGCAGTTCATCATCATATACAAATCATTGTTTTCTCCCCACTCTTGGGTGTTCCAAATTACATTTTTTTGGCAGCCAATCAGACTTATTCCTGTTCATATTTGTGTTAAGCTTTAATGGTTGAGCTCAAGCTCTAATCTTTCTGCCTGAGCTATATGACCATCTTTGTTAGTAGAAACTTTAGAAATACCCAGAGAACTAATTTTTTTTGGTACAAGTTCTATTCTAGATTATTTCCTGATGTAAAACAGGTAATTTAGTGTTGATTTTTATGCTTCTCCTTCAGGTAGAAATAATCTCCCATATCCTTCTCTTCTTTTATGTGAATGAGCCTAAAAACAGCTCCTGCCAAAAATGTTGGACACTATCATCATAGTTAGTTCTTGAGGTTTTTTTGCAAGAATTTTTGTTGAGCAGACAGGCATGAGCTTAGCTTTCACACTTGGGAGTTGTGCTCTCAGGCCTCAAAGAATCACTTCCAGTTGTTTCAAGATGGGAAGTTGTGGGGAAGTGATGTGCTGCTATGAATTGCTGGCCACAAAAATGTTATCTGTGGAGAAGGGGTTCACCTCAGTACTCTAGGAATCTGGGCACACTTCAGTCCTGATACTTGTGGCAGACAAATGTGACTTGAAAGTCTTTTCAGGTATGTACCAAGATTAGATAGCAGAAACGTTGATCAACAAGTTGTATGTAACAGCTATTTAGAAATCAGAATACCTTGAGGAAAGCCGCTCTTCTGCTTTCTGCTGCAGTTTGCAGTCCCACTGTGGCAATATTGTGCTAGTGCCTGGAATCCAGGCAAAGAAATCTTCCAAAAGCTGACACTGATTAGCCTGTTTTGTTAGCCACACTCAGCCACATCTCTGGACAGAGTTGTGCAGTTGTGTCTGTACCTGAGCTTTTACAAAGGGCCTCGAATGGGACTACTGCTCCTGAGGACTGTGGCTGTTTACTGTCTCATGGAATAGCAACAAGGGCATGGAAAGCTAAAGTATATGCTGCCATTTTCCACGTGTTCTCGTGCAGGAATAGCTTCACTTTGTGCAGCAGCAGAACAGGAGCCATGAGCAGAGTTGCTGAGTGCCAGTGAAACCGATAGCACTCCGGGAGGGAAACAGCTTCGCTGAAGAGTTTTTCATTGATTTTTTTGGGGTATTGATTTTTAAGGGGAATATTTTTGTCACGCAGCTTTGTGTGGTACTGTAATAAAGGAGTCGTTTCTAGTGCTTCTGTTTATAAGGTTTCCTTCCTGAGGGTGAGGTGTGCTGTGTCTGAGCAGATCGGAGGGACGCGGAGGGCTGGGAGACGGTGCAGCGTGGACGGCCCGTGCGATCGCGATCCACCGCGGCGGCAAAACCTCCTGTGGCTGCAGAGTCGCTGAGGGCCAAAGGGGACAGTGACAAAGAAAATGTCATCTCACCAGCAGCAGAGAACAAGCATGGGGGTTCAGGCAGCGCCAGTGCTGCGGCCCAGAGCACCGAGCTGGTGCAGAAGGATCCTTTGCAGCACTCTGAGGCTCCCCTTACTGAAAGGGCTCAGGTCAGTACAGCATTGTGAACCATTTTCTAACCATAAGTCTTGCAACTTTTTCTTGAGAGTGTTTTCTCTCCAAAGGTGGTGTTGTCAAGAGTCTTTATGCTCTAACCAGGTTGGGAAAGGGTTTAAAAATAATGGCTGGTTCAGTTTCATAAAATGGCTGCTTGAAAGTACAACGCTGTGAACAGGTTTTCCAAAAATTCAGCATTAGGCACAGCTCACATATAGATTTCTCATAGAGCCAATTTTTGCAAGGTGATTAGCACCTGAAGTAAGTGATTTGCATCACTGACTGTAAGGTTGCCAGGTATTCTCTTAAACTGCTTTTAACTCTAAGTGACTTTAAAATTCAGCATGTTGTATGTTGTTAATTTTGCAAATGCCTCTTGTAAGGTCCCAGCATGTGCCTCAGAAGCCAACGGGAGCACTGGCACAGCACTGCAAGGAGATTCCCCACCACCAGCTGCTGAGCTGCCTCCAGGTCCCACCAATGCTGACTGCTCTTCCAAAGCTCTGCAGGAGACTGAAGCCTCCTCCCAGGGCACTGCTGCTGCAGACTGGCAGCAAACAGAGAAAGCTAAAACTGAGGCTGAAATGGACCCCTCAGATATTTCAAATGTGAGTGCTGCCAGACTGGTAAGAAAAGATTTCTGAGTGAGTAATAAATACAAGCCTTAATTTTCTCACTCTGTACTGCACAGTGTTTATTCGTAGGCTGCTGGAAGAGTTATAGAAAAATCTATCAGGCACTTACTGTAGAAAAAATAATTTGTTGCACAGATACTTTTTATGATTGGATTTAATTCCAGTAAAGTTTCTGAACTTCAGCTGGAAAGATCTAAATGTTTTACTTGGAATAGAGAGATCTGTGCTCTCATTGCTACTTTTAATGATGTTTGTGGTCATTTTTGGTTTCCTTCCACTGTCATTAAATTCTTACTCCAGTTTTGCTAATCATTCAGACTGGAAACACAACTGGTGTCAAAGTTCTGTTGGAAACAAAGGTAGATCTCTGCCTTTTCAGACTAGCTGAGCTGCTCTCCTGGGCCTTCCTCTACAACCAGCAGTCTGGAGGAATGCTGTTCTTAGGCAACAGATGTGAAGTCAGTACTCTGTGTCTGGTTTGGTAGCTGGAGTGGAGATGAACTGGTTTATACTGAGCAGAGAAGGAAAACACAATCACTCAGCGTATTCAGGGTCCCACTCTTCCCTCACTGTCTTGTCATTTATGTTGAAAAACAAGTATAGCTGACATTCCATTGTGCTGACTACTGTAAAGTTTGCTGATATAGTTCATGCAGATAATTTTTGTCTTTAAATAATACTTTGGGGCATGATTGCTTTTGTAGAGCCAGCAGCAGGGCATGCAGTAATGGCTCAGGGTATGTCTTGCCTGGCCACTAAGAGTAGGCATTACAATAATTAGAGAAGAACTCTCTTTGTTGCCTTTAATGACAGTGTTTCTGTAATCTGTTTCAGAATGAGGTGAGTAATAATTTTATGAGTGTTTCATATAGCTATTAAGAGTTAGTAGTTGCTAGCAGTTTTAGTGGGGTTTGTATTTCAGTTACCTTCACAAAAGACAGCAGTAAAGGACCTAACTGGAAGTTGGATAAAATGTTGTGTAGTTCATGTTAACTACATGGAATCCACTGTTTTGTGTGCTGCTGATTTTGGGGCTTTTCTTCTGGTTTGCTGTTTCCTACAGTCCATGGCAGAAGTCCTTGCTAAGAAGGAAGAGTTAGCAGATCGCCTGGAAAAGGCCAACGAAGAAGCCATTGCCAGTGCTATTGCAGAGGAAGAGCAATTGACTCGAGAGATTGAAGCAGAGGAAAACAATGACATTAATATTGAGACTGACAATGACAGTGATTTCTCTGTGAGTATCCAGTTCATTTCAATGCACCCAAACTCAGGCTGTCTTTGATGTCAGCAGAGCGTGAATACAGAATTTGTTAGTGTTCATTTTTGGAGTTAAAGTGACCTGTCTTACATGTGAAGTCAATAGTGTCATGTAATAATTATACCACACTGTCTGAGGTACAGTTACTCTGCTCAGCAGCACAGTGCTGCTCAGTGGTACAGAGCCCTCTGATGTTGCACTTGTCCCACTGCCTGTTTCTGGGTGCAAAATGGGGAGAACTGGGATGTGTTATTTTCACTGCTACCACAGTAGGGAGTAGGTGAAGCAGAAGTCTCCATTTTTGCTGTCAAAGAGCAGAGCAGCATTTGTCTTTGAGATGGTCAGTTCAGCTTGGAAACATTGCTGAGTTGGCAGTGTTTGATATGTGTGTTCACCTGTGAGTTAAGGTCCATGTTTTTACTGTCTGGATCATATTATGTTTCAGGCTAGTATGGGCAATGGAAGCATTTCTTTCTGTGGTTTGTCTATGGACTGGAATGATCTGCTGGCAGACTATGAAGGTAAATTTTTCTATATATTACTGTGCTTACATGGAAACAACAGCAAAAATGTAGAAAAGGGCCCATTTTACTCATGGCTGGTTAAGGTTTCACAAGTTTCCCCAACACCTGAATATTATTTCAAGTGATATTATTTTCTATGTTACTTCCCGAGGAAAGATTGACTTGTGTGTTCAAACTATCTCTGTGTGTCTTTGTTCTTCAGCTCTCTTTCCCCATCTTCCTATTAGAATTTTAAAATTACTTGTCCAGTTTTATCTGAACACTTGGATGAAAGTTCAGTAAAATCATGAAGCATTAAAAATGCATAGGGATTAGAGATGCTTCAGGCTGTGTTTACACCTAGGCTCAAGGGAACCCATCTGAGACAGATCTGAGGTCTGGCTGATGCCACCCTCATGGAGTGCAACAAAGCCAAGTACAAGGTCCTGCCCTGGGTCAGGGCAGTCCCAGACACACCTATAGGCAGGGGGAGAGGTCACTGGGAGCAGCCCTGGGAGAAGGGCTTGGGGGTGATGAAAAACTCACCAGAACCCAACTGTGTCCTGGGCTGCA